GTGCCCCGCGGGGCGGCGCCGTGTGTGAGCACGTCTCCTGCGCCGTCGCGCTGCCTGGACCGGGGACCAGATCCGCGCGTCACTGGGGGCTGGGAGGGGGAGACGGGCTGGGGGGGAACAACCCCCAGGTGCGCGGAGGTGGGGACGGCAGCACGGGGCATCAGGGGGAAACGCTGCACTGTGGGGCCTCTCGCCTGCTGCCTGCCCCAGCTAACAGCCCTGGGCCAAGGCCTGGCTATGGCGCAGGTCTCCACGCCACGTCCCCACTCCCAGCTCTGCATCTCCTGGGTCAGGGCGGCCACGAAGTGCTCTGGCACCCTGAGCCCCAGGACCTGCTCCGTGCTGGGGCCACCCCGCGCTGGCAGAGTTCCCGCCGGCCATGCCACCCTCCCGGCAGCGGGCTCTGGCACCAGGTCTCTGGGGTGGGACCTCGTCCCCGAGGGCAGCTGTGTGGTGTCGGGGGCAGCTTGTCTTCACCTCCTGCCCCGGCTCCTCCAGGGCTGCTGCTTTCCCTGCCCTCGGGGATGCCCCTGGTCCTGGCGTGCTTGTCACCAGGCCTGTCCTGCCCCCTCCGCTCCTGCCTGGAGACCTCGGGGGTCCTGCTCCTGCATCTCCACCTCCGGCTTCACCTGTGACGGGAGACCCCAGACCATGACCCCTGGGCCCCGGCTCTGCCCTGCCCGACACCCCCAATTGCCCCCCGCTCAGAGCACCCTAGGGGTGTCCTTGCCTCCCTCCCCGCGACACAGCTGCCCCCTCCCAGCCTCACGCCCTCCCCCGGCGCCCCCTGCTCTGCGGGAGCTGCAGCCCCTGCAAGGACCCTATTTCGTGTCCCAAGTGCAAGCTGCCACATCACTTCCCCACCCGCGGGGATCATCCACCCGAGGAGCACATGCAGCCCCCCTGGCCGGGCTCCACTGCCAGCTCCCGGGGGTCTCCCGTTTGCACCGCCCTGGTGCATTGCGGACATCCACCCACTGCATCCCCGCTGCCCCGGCCCCCCGGCCGGTGCCCCGCACTCCCGACCTGCAGCCCGCATTCACGGTGCAAAAGTCTCGCGAGAACGAGGACACCCCGAGGCTGCTCTGAGCGGGGGGGGGGCAGTCAGGCAAGGGCAGGGCAGGGCAGGGCAGAGGGACATGGTCTCCCCGCACAGGTGAAGCCGGAGGAGGACCCTGGAGGTCCCCAGGCAGGACGGGAGGGAGCAGGACGGTCCGGGTTATCACCCAGGCCCAGATCTGGTGTGAGCATCCCGAGGGGGCCTGCAGCAGGGCAGGGAAAGCAGCAGCCCTGGGAGCAGCCGGGCCAGCGCCAGGAGAGCTGGGGCAGCAGGAGACTCCAGCCCCCTCTGAAGCCCAGCTGCCCCCAACACCACACAGCTGCCCCCGGGACGACCTGCCCACCCCAGAGACCCACACCTGTGGGGCTGTTTCTGCAGCTCTGCCAGGGCTGGGCCGCAGCACCCAGCAGAGAGCAGGTCCTGGGGCTGGGGGTGCTGGAGCAATTCGTGGCCGTCCTGGCCCAGGAGATACGGAGCTGGGAGTGGGGACGTGGCGTGGAGACCGGCACCGGGTCCGTGGCCTGGCCCAGGGGTGTCAGCTGGGGCGGGCAGCAGGCGAGAAGGCCCAGGGTGCAGCATTTCCCCCGATCCCCCGTGCTGCCGTCCCCATCTCCATGCATGTGTTCCCTCCCCACCCAGCCCCCATCGTGGCCGTCCTGGCCCAGGAGATACGGAGCTGGGAGTGGGGACGTGGCGTGGAGACCGGCACCGGGTCCGTGGCCTGGCCCAGGGGTGTCAGCTGGGGCGGGCAGCAGGCGAGAAGGCCCAGGGTGCAGCATTTCCCCCGATCCCCCGTGCTGCCGTCCCCATCTCCATGCATGTGTTCCCTCCCCACCCAGCCCCCAGTGACGCGTGGATCTGGTCCCCGGTCCAGGCAGCGCGACGGCGCAGGAGACGTGCTCACACACGGCGCAGCCCCGCGGGGCACTGCAGGGACCGGCCGAGTACCGGCTGCAGGAGCCGCAGGGCCGGGGCGCGGGCCAGG